ATAAGTATGTACATTGGCCTAAGGTTTTGCAGTCACAATAATAAAATAATGAAAAAAAATAATGCACAACGTAATATAAAACATTTTACATTTTATTAAAATAATAATAACATAACAACAGCAATATTAGATTTCAATGAATAGCAAGTAATTAATGAAAAATAATAATTAATAGATTATCTATAATTAATAAAAAATAACAATTAATAGATTTTGCATAATTAATAAAAAATAATAATTAATAGATTAAGCATAATTAATAAAAAAATAACAATATATATATATTATACTTAAATAATAAAAAATAAGAATTAATGAATAATAAACAATCAATAATAAATAATAATATGAATAATTAATAAAAAAATTCATAACAAGCAATAAATATTAAATAAGAAATAAGTATTAATAAATAGTAAACATAGTAACATAGTAAATATTAAATATTAAAAAAATGAATAATAAAAAGTAAATGATTAACAATATATAATACAAAAAACAAAAATAAATAAATAAGAAAAAATAAATGTTAATGCTTTGAAAGCAATTGCGTATGATTTTGCCAAAAATTCATATTAGGTTTGGAAAAAAGTTCGTGGCGTTTTACTTAATACACGATTTAAGAATTACTTTATAATCATAGTTGAGAAGATCGAAGCTTCGCAAAGCTTATAAAAAAATTATTGATCTTTATGGCGAAGGGTTCATACACCACGGACCACGTAAACGGTATTTTTATTTTCTTTTTGAAAATTCTTATATAAGTTCCGTTTGACGAAAAATCAATAAAATTTTTAAAAAAATTAACAAAGATCGGCTTTCAAAATTTATCGTAAGCCGAACATACAACTCGTTCCTTGTTCTCGTATTATTTTCTGTTTTTTTTCTTCATCAATTCAGAAATATATATTTTTTCAATTTCTATGGCTTTTTATAGTAATATCTGATTATTGAATTTATCGTAAGGTTATTATTGAAAGTTCATCCGTGGGTCTCCACAAAAACTGACAACACTATTTTTTTCTCCCCGTCCTAGTCGCTGTTCAATGTGCCTGAATACGTTCTCATTATTAAACTTTTTTTTTTATAGCCGTAGTCATTAAAGTCCTCAGTTTAATCTATTTAAAATTGCTAGTACGAAATAGAAAGAGAAATGAATAATAAAAAAGTAAATGATCAGCACCTTATAGTACCACAACAGAACTAAAAAAAAAAAAAGTTTTCAAGCCTTCGCATAGGTTTACGTATAAGAAGAAGAAGAAACTCGATGTTTGCGTACATTATAAATTAAGGGTGAAATATGTACTGGGCGTCTACCTGCGAATCGATGATAAAAAAAAAAGAATAGAAATTGAGCTATTTTCGGAAGAATTGATAGCCGGCGATGGAAAGTAGTTGGCATACGGCAGTAATATGCGAAATAGATGGTCATGTAAGATGAATAAAGTTGCACAACCGGCAGCAAACCGGAGAAGGAAACCTCCTAAGTTAATGCTTTGTACTTAATGCAAGCTATTCCGATTGATTTCATTTCCTTCTTTCTATCAATGCTTACAGCATTAGATTAAAACGTCCAGAATTACTCGAAAGGAAACACGCTATCTTCCAGTTTAAGGACATTTTCAATGAATGAAATTGAGAGAACTTGGCTGGGAAGTCCTAAAGTTACAGTTCCGGATTTTGCCTCATATCGTTATAAGATACTACTTCCTATGCATAGCTCTCTCACAGTAAACCAAACCTGCGAAAATCACTTGGTTCAGTTTTTTGCTTAGAAAGCACAGAAGTTCTATTTGCGGCCCAAGCGGCCTAAGTATCTACCAAAAAAAAATAAATAAATAAATAAATTACAAAAGGCCGCCAATTGATAGGACACGTATTTGGTTTAGCAGACATTATTCAATCTGAATAAAAAAAGTTGTTTGAAAAAAACGCCACAAACTTTTTGCTTGTTTTGTTATTTGTTTGCACTTCTCAATAAAGTGCATAAAATGTTTGTGTGTGTGTGTGTGTGTGTTTTTTTTTTTTTTTTTGTTATTTATTTTATTTACATTTAAACACACATTTTACATTTGTATAGAAGACAAACTTATCCATATTTTTTTGCGCTCAATTGCATTTAATAAAATTCACATGTAAATAAGTATAAATATTGTTGTCCTGCATATATGTTTGCATATATGAATTGTTGCACATATAAAAACAAAAACAAAAAAAAAAAAAAAAAATAGATGAGATGAGAAGACAGCAACAACCGCATGAACAATGTTATTTAGTGCATGCACAGTAACCGACTATAGTTGAAATGTTGACACTTGTGTTGACACTTGACAAGTATTAAGCGCACACGTCCTTATTCTGTTTGCTTCGTTCTCGTGTTTTCTTTTTATTTTTTTTTTTTTGTTTTTTTTTTCTCTTTTTTAGATGGTTTCTGGTAGTGCATAGTAAAGATGTTACCCTCAAAAAACAAACTAAAAAATTTCATTTTTAACAGTTTTTTTTTTTTTTTTTTTTTTTTTTTTTTGAAATTCACTTTTATTTTCTAAAATTTTTACAGAAACTTTTATGAAAACCTATATGACTTTAATATTATCCGTGTCTATGAGTTTTAGGCAGCTTAAAACTTGAAGATACATAAAAAGAAACGCTTAAGTGCTTTTTGAATACCCAGCAACCATGTAAACCATGTTTTAAAAAACAAAATTTGTCAAAAAAAAAAAATTTAAATTCAACTCCTGTAAGTGGAATGATAATGAAAAAGAAAATGTAAAGCAAAAAAAAAAAAAAAAAAGAAAGAAAATACGCAGAAGGAAGAAGAACGAATTCCGGCAAAGTTGAGGGAAAAGAGAAAAAATCTTGTGTTTATAGGAATTATTTATCTTTCATGCAAGTCTGCATAAAAATTTATTTAAAACTCATTAAAAATTCTTTTTCAGATGACATAAGATTAATTGACGTATAGATTGAAAGGTTAGTAACCCATACAACTTATAAAATGCATAATTAAGGAGTAAATAATTTTCCTATAGTAAAAAGTGCCAGTTTAACATACGATGTATTTTTCTTACTTGACAATCATTTTGAGATTTTAAATTACATTTTAAATAAATGATTTTTATCTTATTAGGGATTGCTTTTAATTTCAATATTTTTTTATACGTTTCCATACGGAGTGTTTGATATGAAAATGGGGCAAGGCTATTTTTGCGAAAAGTATGAAGGTAATGGTAATTACAACACTTCATTCAATAAGTTCGTGGGATGTAGAGAGTTTTTTTTATTGGATGCTATTTTGTTATTGAAACGCATTCAAATAATGCTACGTGATATCCACATTTGATCCTTTGCATACCATGCGCTTTCCAAACACATGTACGCCATAACTTTCCGATTCAAGTCTTGCATTTTGTTTTGCTTTGGACGGCTTTCGCTGTTTAATTTGCACTCAGCTGACAATCTTTTTGAATTCCAAACAGCTTTCGGAACAGTCGACGCATTGTTATTTTTGGTCCTGCTCTGGCGAAACGCGGCATTCACTTCGAGCAGAGCTTCCTCATGGGCAAATATTTAGACAAACTACGCCGCGACACCCCTCGCGGTCTTTCAAAACTATTTTGTGCACTAGTTTGTGTTCCTTGGAACAACGGTCGGGTTCGGGTCGGTGTGAGCAACATACTTACCGCTCCTATATTAACGCAAATCCTATCATCTTTCTAAGTAGCTTCTGGCAGTCAGAAACAATTGCGAAAGTTCGCCCTGATCACCAAATTGCAACACATGGATTCTCAAAAGAAAACTATTCCCTCAATTCGCTATTATAGGCAAACGCAAGTCTGTCAACACATTTTCAATAAAACTCGTCTGTAAGGCTAAACAAATTATCTCAAAAACACAAGACTACATCGTCAAACGTCAAACAGACAGGCATATAGATAAACATCCGAACAGACAGAGGGGCAGACAAACCTATATTGGTTCGAAAAAAGAAATGATTCCGTATCGACTATGAAGAGAGAAAATGGCTCGCTTTCAAGTCATCTTGAAGAACAGACAATTTTATATCGGTTCCAAAAAAAGAAATGGTCCCGCATCAATTATTAGAACAGGAAATGGGTGGCTTTCGAGTCGTCTTGAATACCCCATGGATTAGAAATTGTATAGGGTGCAAAAAGTATTAACTTGATAAGTTTACAATTATCTGTGCCGGCAAAGCATTGTTGAACGCATAGAACGCATATTGCAAGCTTGTAGTGTATCAAAGCGAATCTTCGTTTCAGTCTTGTTCCAGTAAAGTGTTCTAAATCCTACGTGCCCTTAGACTTGACATATGGCCATCAATAAATGGCGCATACATGACAATTTTTAGAACGGCAAGGCTTTGCCACACTTTACATTACAGTTCCTGTGTTGATCAAAAATACATTCACTCTCTGGAGTTTTCTGTGCGACAAACGAAATGTCAAACCAGTCTGCATGTGTGATGCATATCCTACCTTATAGCAAACAAATCTAAACAGGGGTATATAACTGTTTATTGTTTTGCGAAATCGTGTACATTATCATTAATGTGTCCCCTCCACTTTATCAGACTGTATTGGCAGGGTTAGTGCACAGTGCAAGTTCATATAAAAATCTGCAAATTGTATTTGGCTTAGGGATGCAATTTAAAACCAAATGATTCTCGTGAGGGGGTATATTTATTCCGTAGGAAAAACTCATGAAAAATAAATCATTTTAGCAAAGCTTTTCAATACAATAATGACACAATGTGTTTAAAAAAATTTCCCAAAAAAAAAAAAAAAACGAACATAACATTTATATGCATATAAAAAGAAATTTAAAAAAGAATAAAAGAATTTATTAAAATAAAATTTTCCGTTATCTCTTTGTTTGACAAAATTGACCAAAAAAATAATATATAATAATAAAAAATTTGTAAAATGCCGAAAAAATCGAAAAAGCAAAGGAAACGAAATGAACTCAATTTTACTGGCGGCGATATGTACGTGCAGGGCGAGATAAGCGGTTTGATGCGTTTGCAAGATAAATTTTTTAATAAAGATACAGCATTCACTATCGAAGAACGACAATTGTTGGGCATACACGGTCTCTTGCCGCCCGTTGTACGAAATATTGAAGATCAAGTTGAACTTTGTTTGATGCAATTTCTCGATATCGATGACGATCTGTCGAAATACACTTACATGATACGTTTAGGTGCACGCAACGAACGTTTATTCTACAAGTTGCTCGCAACGCACGGAGACAAATGCTTGCCATTCGTTTATACGCCGACCGTGGGATTGGCTTGTCTAAATGCTTCTTATGTTTTTCAATTCCCGGTTGTTCTATTTATCACTATAGAGGACAAAGGACATATATATAATGTATTAAAAAATTGGCCACAACCTGATGTGAGGGCTATTTGCGTCACTGATGGAGGCCGAATTTTAGGCTTTGGCGATATGGGCGCCCATGGTTATCCTATACCGAAAGGCAAGGTAACGCTGTATACGGCATTGGGAGGCGTTAGACCGCATTATTGTTTGCCTATTTGCTTGGACGTGGGTTGCAATAAGTCACAGGTCAGGGAAGATCCTCTTTACATGGGTTTAAAGCGTAAACGGCCTCCGCGGGCTGAATATGACGAATTCGTCGATGAATTCATGGAAGCTGTGGTGAGTCGTTACGGGCCAAATTGCTTAGTACAGTTTGAGGATATCGGTAATGCAGATGCCTTTCGTTTACTTACGAAATATCGCTACAAATATGCAACGTTTAATGATGATATACAAGGAGCGGGTGTCGTTGCATTGGCCGCTTTAACGTCTGCAATGAGTATCAGTAATACTAAATTGGAAGATCAAAGAGTTCTCTTTCAAGGGGCTGGAGAAGCTGCTCTAGGTATCGCAAATCTTTTATTTGTTGCTTTAAAAGGGGAAGGTTTGGATGACAATGAAGCTCGTTCACGTATCTGGCTACGCGATAGTAAAGGTTTGGTTGCATACAACCGTCCACAGGGCCATCTGACTGAGTATAAATTAACGTTTGCCCGAAAGAGAGCACATATAGAAAAATTAGAAGACTGCATCCGTGAATTCAAGCCAACTGTCTTGATTGGTGTCTCTGCTCAGTCTGGCGCATTTAGCAGAGAGGTTCTTGAGTTAATGGCTTTATATAATAAGAGACCTATAATATTTGCCATGTCCAATCCGCCCAGTAAATGCGAATGTTCAGCTGAGTCGGCATTTCGACATACGAGAGGTAAATGCCTTTTTGCTACGGGCTCGCCTTCGCCAGCACTTGAATACGCTGGCGAAATGTATCATGTCACTCAAGTGAACAGCTTATATGGATTTCCTGGTATTGTTATGGGGGCGATAGCTTGTTGCATTTCACATTTAACGCCTGCCATTTTTCTTGTTGCTTCTCACACGATATCTAGTCTTTGCACCGATGATGATTATCGTCAGTGTAGCTTGTTACCTCCTCTAAATAAACTAACCTCATGTGCCTTCGAAATTGCATGCAACGTTGTTGAGTATGCTTATAAAAGCAACTTGGCTAGAAGAAAACCCGAACCAACTGACATTAGGGCTTTCGTTAAGCATCAAATGTATGATTTAAATTATGAATCGGCCATAAAGACATGGCTGCAGGAATACGAGAAATAAGAGATGCAACTGATGGATTTCAAATTTTCTTATATATTTCGTATTTCTTCTTTCATTTTGATTCGTTAAAAATATATATGAAGAGTAAATAAATATTCTTCTTGTGAACATCAATGATACGCACATATGTTTTCAAACCTTTCTGAATAGTTTCAATATGAAATTTTCTCTTTTACTCATATTCATAATTATGCTGGTATATGTAAAACAAACGGATATCACTTTAATTGCACGACATTAAATGCAAATGTTTACTTCGACGCGAACTATAACCACAAATTTTGGGTGTACATAATAATATTAATAATGATAATAGAATTTAATTGTCTTTGAATTAAGTCTATTTGCATTTCCAAGAGGCATTATGAAGGATATAGAGCCTGCAAGTGAAAACAAAAGAAGGATGACGGTGTTCTTTATTTATTTTTTTTTTTTTAATTCTCCATCTCTTTCTTCACCATATGTTGGAAAACCTCGTGAACATTTGCTTTAATATAAGACCTTAAAAAAATGATAAACTTTAGTGAGCTATCGGTTTACTCTTGCTTGACTCTTACGATGACAGCACGCACCATTTCGTTCTATCTATTTAAGTTTGTGATTAACTTCGTACTATCAAGTTAGTGAGATTATCTTCGTACGTCGTGTTTTTCGTAAAGTCTTCGTTACAGAGATTAAAGAAAGTTAACAAAAGGCCTTAGCGATTTCTAACTTCTGGCCCATTTTCTTGAACAAAACACATTGCTTTATAATAGCGCTATCCTACATAGTGCAATATCCAAGATTTCCAAATATAGTGGAAAGAAGGGTAGAAACTTTGATTTCAACCAAATTAGCATAGACGCTAAGAAAGATTTTACAACGAAACTTTTTATTTTTTTTAAATAATCTTAATTCACACTAGACAAGCTTTCGAATTTGATTCGACTTTAGGTCCAGGGAAGAAATTCATTACGTAGCCTAGATTTGGATTCTCAGGAATAAGTTCTTGATCGATTTCGACTTTTGATGAGAAGGGTACATCAATGCCAATTTTTTTTTTTATTGACTTTTGGGCGTCTGTTTACAAGAAACACGTAGGAAAATTATTACGCTTGTTTGCAAAAGCATCTCTTTTTTTTTTTTTTTAGTCAAAATGTTTTCGATTTTTCTCTATTGGATAAAAATATTATTATGAACGGTCGAATACGACAAGTGTAGCTTCTCGATGATGTTACGAATGGTTACCGATGTTATTGATAATAAAAAACAAAAATATGCCGAATTTTGCTGCTTTTGGTCTTTCATAGGTGATAAGGCACAAAAGTTACTTTACAAAGTCCAACAAATCTTTTCAAAAAGAATCCATTCCATATTAACTGCTAAACTACATAATGAAAAGGCGGCTCAAGTGGTAACTTCACTGGGAAAAAACGAACTAACATTTCGAACAATCCTTTATATTAACTTTATGTAGAATTTCTGATACCGATCACAGTCGACTAAAAAGTTGAGCCAAAGAAAAAAGTTTGGTTGGTTTTCTCAAGGGGTGGTTCTAAACTTCCATGGCTTCGCTAACGCCTATCCTGCCAAGCCGTACTAGAGATCTAAATTGTCATTTATGGACTTGTGGGTTGGCATGTAAAACACACGTTTGCCTTTGCAATTAATTTGATATATGATTTTCTACTTTATTTATAGGTTGTAAATTTTTGCCTGGTTTGTAGTAGACCACTCAAGACTTCAGTTCTTGGCTCTTAGAACTTTAAAGGTGTTCAAATCAGGCAACTAGCAGGCAGACTAGCGGCTAACCTGACTCTACAAGCTGCTTCGATTAGAAATTTCTAATGCCTAATTTTCCATCTTATCGACGGAAGAATAAATTTGTTACAATTTAACGTGCAAATAAAACCGAGTAAATAAAAATCGCGACTACCAACTCAGTATTAGCGGGTGTAACCCTCTGTCCGGTTGAGCAGACTTGGCTGAAGCTATAGCGAGCCCTTGGCCCCACCCAACAATTTGGCATCCATTAGACTGCGGTCACTGTCTATTGCTTTTTATTTCTCTTACTTTGCGCTGACCGTGAACGTGTTATAAGTATAGGCGACATCCCTTGAGCGATTGGTCAAATAAAAAAAACGTGCTGATAAAAAGGCCATTTATTTAGCCAGAGATATAAATTCAAAATCTTAAAAAGCACTAGAATTAACTTTATTGAAAACTGCACCACTCTTGAGATTTCAACCCATGACCATTGAGTTGTTAATCGACACTCTTAATCTACTTCGCCACTCAGGCGGATCAAAAAAAAACCTTTTTTATATTTCGTTTACTATATGTATGTTACGTTAAAAATCAATACAAAAATGTATTATTTTCCTAACCTAAAAACTTCAGAGTCAGTTTACCTCATACATCACTGAACGCTGAATTGATATTGATATTATTTATTTAATTCTTACTTTGCCCACATTTATTTCATTTAAGCATCAATGTTACTTTTGTTTTACATTTCGACAAACTTTTATTTTTATCAATATACCGCATATATATTTTTATCCTAAATTTTCCATTTAATTTTATGGGTAAATAAATAAAAACGAAAAAGAAAACTTTACTAATAATTTAAGTTTTCAACAAACTGTTCGCTCGATGCGATACAGTAAACGTATGTCTACGATTGTTTTCATGCTACATAAATGCATATGTGTGCGAGCGACTGTGATGAATACATTCATATATTCATTCATATTCGATGAATTTTTATGTAAATGCGTGTCTGATGGAACACAATCGAAATGTTTTTTTTTTACGTTTTTTTTTTTTTTTTTTGTTTTTACATTTTTGTATTTTTCCAATCAACAACAACTGCCATGACGGTTGATTTACTAAGTCGCCGTTGAATTTATTGAGCTGGAAATGATTGTATATGTAAATGTAAACGATATCACATATATAGTAAAATTGAAAACAGTGCTGTTGAGTACAAATTATTTTTATGTGTTTTTTTTTTTTCATATCTTACACAAAGTGTTGTAAAAGAATTTCTCCCTCATCTTGAAAATTACTTCCATCAAATTTCATATGAAATCTGCGAAATTTTGGGGAGTAACGTTAAACGAACGATTTCCTCTATCCATTATATTAATTCATGGTTATGGTTATGATGTATAAAACTTTCGTACTAGAGCATGTGTAACGGTAGCATGTTTTACTCACTCTCTTTTTTTCTTTTTTAATTTGATATTTGCTCTTTTATGTATATGCTTTTCATTTCGTTTGACATTTACTTCTTTTTATGGTTAGGAATGATCTTATCGCACTGGTTATTAGTATTACTGCCGCCAGTGATAGTGAATGAAATCAACAAAGTTGAAATTTTAAATACTAAAGTTCATCTCTAGTAGAAAATTATTATTTTGACATTTGTTACAAATACACCCACTTTAAGTTGAATTTTACATCAAACATAAAGCTTCCGGTGGTTTTGTAAATGTTTTGAACAATTTTTTTTTCCATTTTTTAAACATTTTATTTAAACACCCAGAAATTCTTTGCTTCACCCCAAAGCATGCGACGGGGACAGAATGACATTTAACGTGGAATCCTTTGCATATTTACTTTTAAAGATGCGCCTAAGAAATCTCTCTACATATATATATATATATATATGTATGTATATATATATATCTCGCGAACAGGAGAAACATTGAGCTTTTAAATATTTACTTTTTGCACCTAAGACATCCCTATTTATATATATATATATATATATATATATATCGCAACAGAAAAAGCATTAAGCCTTTAAATGTCATTAGCACCTAGAAGTATGCCAACAATACTTAAAGAAAAGGTATAAATATTTTTAATTAGCTTGAGGAGAATTCTCGCTTTTGATTGCATTTATCTTTCCCTCTTTTTAGTTCTGAATAGTAGAGGCCCTATTATAGTCGGCGTAGAAATACTCAAAATCTCCGCAACTCTGCTGTTCTAGATAGTCGACAGCGGAGAATTCTTGTGGAGTATATTTCTACTATGAGAAGCAATAATAATATTGCATCATATGTCAAATATATGCACAGACAAAAAATACAAACTACTTACAACGACCATACAAGTATAAGCAACAGCAGAGGAAAACATTATGAAGGGACATGGCCCACCATTAAATAACGTATGCCATTTTATTTAATACAGTTAAGATTTTTCAAAATAATGTGTTATGTGGGAAATGCTCAGCACTAGGTTCAATAACATTCTCAACTTTAGTCAAAATATTTCAAAACTTATGACATGTAGGTTGAACACAAGAGCCCTACACGCAAAGACGGACATATAAGCTTAGATGAATTCGGAATCACTTACTGAAACAAAAGGTCCTTCTGGCTGTTGCATACTTCTGCACAAACTTAATATACCTTTGTGCCACAAGTGACGAAGGGTAACTTAACACACTATTAGAGATTAAAGCAGTTACTAAAGTGCGTGAAACTCTTAAGGCTAACATTAAACTATTCTTATCTCAGCTATCATTTTTTAGTATTAAAATTTATCTCTATCACATAATCAACTTTCTTTTTATCCTTTCGTGTTATATGCGAAGTAATCGGAGAAGTGGTCCGATCCGAATCATTTTCGGTAACATTCATCCTTAGGCGAAGACACATCGATGTACCAAATTTCATCGAAATATTCCAAATATTTGCCGACTATAGGTTAAGCACAGGAAAGCAAGGCGGAGAGACGGACAGAGACGCATAAATCGATTTCAAATCACTTTCGGTAGAACAAAAACTGGTCCTATCTCAAGTCCTTCTGGATGTTACATATGCCCCCAAAAATTGTATGTACCCTTGTACCATTGATGTCACGTGTACACCCGAAAATTGTTTGTATCCTTGTACCATAGATGATATAGGATACAAAAAAAGGCAAACTCATTAAGTAAATTAGAAAAAAAAGTTTAAAGCAATAAATTCCGGTCTTCAAAATACTTTTCTTCAAACACACTTGACTTAATTCAAAAGGTTTTTACTTATATCGTAAGCAAAGTTCGATTGAACGATTGCTGTGTATGTGAAAGTTCCG